AGGCACTTCAGTAGTTGTGGTGCACGGGCTTAGCTGCCCTGCAGCATGTGGGGATCTGCCCTGACCAGGGATGGAACCGATGTCCCCTGCACTGGCAGGTGGATAAACAATGGACCAACAGGGAAGTTCTATTATTTCCTTTTTTTAAAAAAATGCATTATTATCTCTGTATAACTATGAGCCAGAACTTAAGAGAGGAGATGGCCATGTTGGGGAAAATATCTTTGTATGCCTCAGTTTGTATATAGACCCAGATTTGTTTTGACTTTGGATTTACATTGCTGGTTTTTTTTAGCTGTCTATTGCACACTCTCAGAAGGGTTTTTCCTGTCATATTTTTAACTTTCCAAAATAGTGGTAAATATATATAATATAAAATTTATCATTTTAACCATTTTTAAGTATACAGTTCAGTGGCTTTAAGTGAATTCACATTGCTGTACAACAACCACCGTGATCGGTGGGACTCTTTCATCATCCCAAACTGACACTCTGTACCCATTAAATCATAACTCCCCATTCCCTCCTCCTCTCAGTTTCTGGCAACTACCATTCTATTTTATGTCTCAATAAATTTGACTATTCTATGTCCCGAATATAAGTGGAATTATACAGTAGTTTCCCTTTTAGGCTTGACTTATTTCAATTAGCATAATGTTTTCAAGGTTCATCCATGTAGCATGGAAAGAATCCCCTTCCTTTTTTAAGCCTGAATAATATCCCATTTTATGGATATACCATGTTTTCTTTATCCATTCATTCACTGATGATCTGTGGGTTGTTTCCCTCTTTGGCTATTATGAATAACACTGTTATGAACATTGGTGTACAAATATCCATTCGATACCTTGCTTTCAATTCTTCTGAGCATATACAAATCAGTACCAAGATACCAGTCTGGTGTGCATCAGCTAGACATACCAGGAAAGAGCTCCTGACTTACATATGTCTCACTTAAGAACATCCCTGACATGCAAAACATAGTGGAATTGAGGAGTTGATCTTCTGCAGTTCCTGGAGGTCTCTGTTTGCCACCACTGGAATCATGAGGATTGTGGACTCTAACTTGTTATTAATAATGGGACAGCTAGAACTCACCTCTCTTCTACGTTCATCTTCCTTCTTTTTCTTGACACCAAAACTATATGTGTGCCACGGTCACTGTGACTAGCTGGCATCGTGTCAAGAGCTCCTGTTTTCACTAGAGGATTGAATTTCTTCAGAAGCAGAGGAATTGCAGTTGGAACACTGCATGACTCTGCAAATGGAAGCAATGCTCTTTCACATCTGTTCAACTAATCCTGTCCATTCCATCTTTTAGCTAACTCAAAATCAACCCTTCCTCCTTGCCTCCTCTGCCTTGAGGTCAAAAATCTCCCTGAGACCACTGCAAAAATGGGCTGAGTCAGTTTCCCCTACAGTCAGGATTTCTGCCCCACCCTTCATATTATAGGGGAAATCCATCTTTGCCCAGCTTAATGTTAGTGTCACAGAGCCTTGAAATAACAATGTTCAAAGAAGAACTTAACCATTCCAAACCTCTGCTGGGTGGGACTGCAACAGAGCCATGCCTTCTTACTTCTAGTCTGGTCTATACTTTTCTTACCAGTAGCTTTTTAAGTTTGTATGGCTCTTGTTTATTCAACAAATGACTGTACTGATATCATACATGTATCAAGGTCAGCAGCAGAAGGAAAGCAAGTTAAATGAATAAACTCCAAGATCAAAATCATTCCAGTACCCTTTCATTACCTTAGTCAACACTGGTGTGACACATATTTTCTTTTTTTTTCTCTCTTCTCCTCACTCTTTTTTTTAATGCACTGGTTTCTCATTGCAGTGGCTTCTCTTGTTGCAGAGCCCAGGCTGTAGGGCTTGCGGGCTTCAGTAGTTGTGGCTCCTGGGCTCTAGAGCACGGGTTCAGTAGTTGTGGTACATGGGTTTAGTTGCCCCATGGCATTGAGATCTTCCTGGACCAGGGATCAAATCCACTGCATTGGCAGGTGAACTCTTAACCACTGTACCACCAGGGAAGCCCTTTCTCTTCTCTTTTTTTGAGGATGGTGATCAAAGTGAAGTAGTTGAGGTACTTCTTGCTCAACTCATCCAGTTCTTTCTTCCTTCTGCTTCTTAACCACCATCTTCACAATTTTCAGAGGATGACTAAATGGGTTCCTGGACCCAATGCTGCAGTGGTTCACAGTTCTCTAGACACCAGCTTGGTGTCTTACAATTTAACTCAATTCTAAGTTGGCTCCATGGTAAAGAATCCACCTGCCAATGCAGGAGACTCAAGAGACGGGGGTTTAATCCCTGGGTTGGGAAGATCCCCTGGAAGAGGAATTGGCAACCCACTCCAGTATTCTTGCCTGGAGAATCCTATGGACAGAGGAGCCTGACAGGCTACAGTCAGTGGGGTCGTAGAGTCAGACACAACTGAAGCAACAAAACACCAACACAACACTGTAAACCTGAAGACAGCACAGGTTAATTTCGCAGGTAAAAGACTTTATCCTAAAGACAGCCCCCATGCCTTCAGATGCCAATCACAAGCCCACATGATCACCTGTGCTTCTGACCAACCTGCTACAAACTAGAGGTTCTAGAGTCCCCCTTTCTTGGACTTCAGATGCTAGTTTTAAGTCCATATTGTTACCTGTTCCTCTGACCAACTGGCTATAAATCAGAGATTTCCACCACCCCCTTCTCAGGTTTGATTAATTTGCTAGAGCAGTTCACAAAACCAAGAGAAACTTTTTACTTACTGGATCACCAGTTTATTATAAAAAGATATAACCAGTAACAATCAGGTAGAATAGATGCTCAGGGCAAGGGACAGGGAAAGGATGCTGAGTGTCCATGCCCTCTCTGCCCACATCACTGTTCCAGCATCTCCACATATTCACCCATGCAGAAGCTCTCTGAATCCCTCCTCTTGGGTTTTTATGAGGGCTTCATTATAGGCTTAATTGATGAAAATCACTGGCCATTGATGACTGAACTCAATCTCTAGCTGCTAGTTCCTACCCACCTCCCTGGAGGTGGAGAGTGAAGGGTAAGGGAAGGACCAAAAGTGTTAATCCTTTAATCTCAGGGTTGATTCCCTCGGTAACAAGCCCCCATCCTTAGGTGCTTAAAAAAAAAAAAATTAATACAAACCCAGGAGTGGTGGAAAGAAGCGTGTTCTGAATGACAAGGCATCTGTTTCACCTCTAAGGCACAGAAGCCATTTTAAGAAGTGAGGACAAGAGAACAAATACTATAACAAAAGATGCTCCTATTGCTCTTACTGCTCAGGAAATTACAAGGATTTTGAGAACTATGAGCCAGGAACTCAGGTTGAAGATCACATACATGTGAGAAATACATTTTGGTCATCTGAATGTGGCCAAATACATATTTCTCGTTAAGTCACAATATCTCAAGGGCTATTCACATGTTCTGCACATTTAAATCTCAGAATGCAACTGTGATACTGCACTTGATTTGTGCATGTTTGGAGAAGCTTCTTTGTTCTTCCTTCCTAATCATGAACTACCATTCTCATCACCCTTCCCTATAATTTCCCCACCAAAACACCTTCCACCACCATCAATAAATCAGTTGCACATATATATTTGTAAGCAGTCTTGAATTATTCTTTGGAACAAGGCAAAAGTATATGTTAATTTAGAATTCACATGGTCATTTGTCCCAGTTTGCCTAGGGCATTACCAGTTTATGCCTACTGCCCTGCATAATTTTTAAATGAGCTCCCCTTTTTACTCTAAAAAAAAGTCCCAGTTTGGAGGATAAACTATGTTTGCCCTATTTAAAAATACACCTTGCTTTCCCAGTAAAATGCTTTTTGGGTGACATGGTACTTTGTCCACATCACTGCACAACAACTCTGCAAAGTCGGAAGGGAAATATTTTATCTCTGTTAATTAAATGAAGTAACCGAGGCTGACTTCAGGTAGCACAGTAGTGACTGTACGAGGTCACACATTCAGTGACAGAATCAGGATTCCTGCTGATTTCAAGTCCAATATTGTTCAGCTGTGGACCACTTTGTGCAAATATCTAAGTAAAGACAAACCTCTTTCTCTTGTTTAGTAACCTGCTTGCGCTTGGACCTAGAACAGTTTAGACAGGTCCATCCTTGCCCAGAGACTCTCTTTTTCACATCTGAAGCAAGCAAAGAGATGAAAAAAAGAATTATGGAAACATACAGAGGCTATTAGTGAATCCAGGGGCCAAATGACATAAATCTCTGATTTTACCAGGTGCAGTTAAATCAAGGTGTTGGAATTTTTTCCCCTAACCACATGACAATAGGAAGGAAAGAAAGGAGGGAGGATGGAGAAAATGAACAAGGAAGAGAAATGGACGGAAAGACAAAGACAATGAAGATCAACAGTGAATGCCTACAGTTACAAAAAGCAACAACAAATAAATGGGTTCCGCCCCAGTCTTACATTTCCCCCATAGTTACGTGCTAAATTTTTTTTTAACCCCAAACCAGTAAAATTCGACTTTCCTTGGGTAAGCGGCAAAGACAGATACAAAAGAGAAAAAACCCACGATCCTTCAAAGACAGGCATAGTGCTTTCAAGGTCTTCAGGGTGTGCTACAGATGCTGAATGCCGCGCCACACGGATAAATAAATGCACCCTATTCTAACCTCCCCACCGGCCGCCCCAAGAGAAGGTTACAGGACCCGCGGGGGTCCAAGCCTCCCTTCGCAATGACAGAAAGGGGTCCAGTGTCCGTGGGAAGCATGACTCCACGTCGCTGGCCAGTCTAGCGGGACCGCAGCAGAGGGGTGGACGCCTGCGGCTCTGTCCCGGCTAACCTGCAGGCAGTCGGCCTCGCGCTAGAGAAGCTGAAAGTGAGAGGGCAGCGGAGGACGAGCTCGGCTCCCGGGCGGGGGGGTGGGGGGGCGCATGCGCAGCATCCGGACTGCCGCGGGCCGGAAGAGCAGAACAGCAGAGCCGCGGCGGCAGGCTCCAGACGCCGCGGTGGCCGCGGGGAGAGCGCGGGCCGGGGATGTGGCCCCTGGATGATACTGGGGCCGCCAAGCGGCAGGAGTCCGGGCTGCCGCTGATGGACATCCCGTCTCCGGGCTCCAGGCTGGAGCCGGCGGCTGCGGAGGTAGTGGAGACGCCCGGCCCCGGAGGGTACTGGCAGTGCCCTTCCTCGCCGTGCGGCTCGCGTGCCCAGCAGGGTGAGTGCGGGGCGCGGACCCTGGCGTGGGTCTCGCCTATGGGGGAACCAGGAGGGCGCCAGTGGGTGGGAGCCCCCGCAGTGGCGGGCGGGGGGCTGCGCATGGTGGACCGCGCCTCTCCTTCCCACCCTGCTGGAAGCTCCTGAACACCCTCGCGCTGTCACCTGCGGGCGGAGTGGGGGAGGCGGGCGGGGTGCGGGCTGGGAAGAAGAAGCCCCCTGCGTCCCAGTCGGCGGAAAGACCAGAGAAAGTTTCTGATTGCTTTGGAATCCATTTGGGATTCTGAAACTGTTCCTATAATTAAAGTGTTGCTGGCAGGATCGTGGAGTCCGATTGTCGTTCGGTGCGCCCTGCCGGAGGTTGGGGGTCAGCGAGAAAGGCCATCACGAAGCGGGCTGAGGTTGGGAGGAAGCTAACCAAGAACTGATATCAATGGTAAACGGTGTTCCTCGAAGAGGAAGTTGAAAAGCATCAAGTCTAGAAAAATGTTTGTCTCAGTCTTAAGACTCTTGGGAAAGCAAAGTTGAGTGGGACCACTGGTTCTTAACCTTTTTTGAGTTACAAGGAATTTTTAGCAACTGAGGCAAAACGAGACAGAAGCACAATCTTACATACATGGGTAAGAGGTTCACGGACCCACCTCCAAGACCAGGGACACTTTATTTTGTTCAATGTCTTCCTTCCACAAATGATGAAATTAAGGCCCCGGAAAGTAAGGGCTTTGGCAAGATTTTGTTTGATTGGCATGTTTGGAAAAGACACTCCACAGGTCTGGGCAGCACCAGGCATAGGATCCCAGTTTGCTACAGACCCAGCCCAGGGCCCTTTCTCCCAGCCTCAGGCACATTCCTCCTTCAACTTCACCACCCACTTGAAGCGGCTTTCTCCAAGAAAGAGAAACAGGCAGATCTCCTTTCAAGACAAAGTTACAATCTGCACCACCTCATCCTCTAGGTCACCTCCCCTAGTGTGACCTGGGATTTCTATGCAGTTTAGCCAACCCCACTGTTCCCTATCTGTAAGAGTCACAAAGTTCACATACTTAATAGAGAGACAAACCCCAGGGAGATGGTTCTTGCTCCATTTTCATCCTAAATGCTAAGAGAAATGATCAGGCTTCTGATTATTTATTTAGGGGTTACCTTCAGCTGAGGGCTTTTTTGGTGGCTCAGAGGTTAAAACGTCTGCCTGAAATGTGGGAGACCTGGGTTCAACCCCTGGGTCAGGAAGATCCCCTGGAGAAGGAAATGGCAACCCACTCCAGTATTCTTGCCTGGAGAATCCCATGGACAGAGGAGCCTGGTGGGCTACAGTCCTCGGGGTCGCAGAATCGGACATGACTGAGCGACTTCACTTCACTTTCAGCTGAGTGGACCAGAGGTGCAGCTTTGAAGAGGTCAGATTCTTGTCTTAATATCCTAGGCCTGAATGTTCTGATGGACTGCTGAGTTAGTCCTTGCAAGCTTTTAAGTGATTTCCCTGTTTGTGAATCAAAGAGGAATATTTCAGGCAGAACGTGGCAAAACCTATGTAAGCAATTGCACCCAAGAATCTTGAGGGGGTCTTTTAATTTCAAAGAAAGTTGCTAATAATAAGACTTAGAAATACTTATTATAAGGTAACTAAGTAATAGTCCAAAAAAGGGAGTGCCACAGAAACACTTTAAACCTCTGTACTGTGGTCACTGAACTTTGTGACAGTATCATTTTAGCCTCTTAACCCAACTGCTTATCTCAAGAAAGTTCATTTTCAAGTTCAGGCTGAAACTTGTTACCCATTTTTCTTACATTCTTGGATAACCTTCACAGACAGCATATAGCTATCTAAGACATCTGTTTATTTTCATGAGGGACAGTGTGAGTCTTAGACTGAAGCAAGGAGAAGTTGTCTTAAGTCTGTGCCTCTCATTCTCCTGGAAGGAGTGAGTTCCTTAGGGTAGCAATGGCCCTGAAACCAGCAGAGCTTTTTACAGTGACCAAGATCCTGTTTCAGTGGGTCTAGGGTAGGGCTGAGATGGAAGTTTTAAAAGTTCCTAAGTTGATTCTAATTCCCAACTGGGTAGTGAATCACCAGTTTAAAGGAGAGGATAGAGAAACCGAGCAACTTTCCAGTTTCCTTTTGACTCAGGAAATTACACTGTTGCCACTTAAGTTGAATTATTTAGAGTTACCGGATTATTAGATATGCTTGCATGGAGTATGATCGTGGAAGCGTATATATAAGCAAATGCCTCTTTGGATTATTCTATTCTCATTCATTTCCTTTGACAGGACTGAAATTATTGTTCTGTAAGAGACTGAAGTTTGCCAGTCCTCAGCCTCAGAACAAATAATCAAGTTCAGCCAGACCTTGAAACTTAAAGTTTTAAAAGAGTTAAAATATCATAAGTTAAAATATTCCTTGAGAAAAATTTAAAAGTTTAGGTTGGAGAAGATCCTTGAAATACAGACCAAGATGTTTTTTGTCCTTGATCTTCCCATTCTGTTCTATTCTGTCTGAGGGTGTAGGTTCTATGTAACGATTAGGTTTCTTCTAAGAAAAACTATTTTATTTGGACCTGAATTCTGAAATTTCAGAAGCTGACCTCTAAGGCTGACCACAACCAAGACATGTACTTTGTGGTGCTTAACCTTCTAAAGCTTCCTTCTCATGGACTGAGTGGGTATGTACAGTTTGGTTCCTGCAGTATCTGAGCACATAGATACAGACGAGAATGGAGGATTCTGGTACTTATAACAGATAACCTATTACATGGCGACTGCTAACTCCAGGTCATTCCCTTCAGCTGTACACCTTGAACAGGAAAAGGTGGAGGCCTCTGGCCAGAATGGCATCTTTTACTACAAAGGTCAGGCTGTAGTGTACGCCCAGGAGGATTGTGCATCATCATAGTTTGGTCCCACTTTGCAAATTGTTTATCACTGTGGGCAAAAGCTATCTAGTTAACATGTGGATGTTGAAATGTATTAGCTGATGTTTGTGTTTATCAGAAAAGGGCATTAAGACAAACAAACATTGTACAATACTGGTTTATGGCTGAGTAACCCACTGTAAATTCCTAGATTGGAATTATAATCTTGCTTTACTACAAACTGCATGTGCCTACACATCCTTCACCTCTGCTATGCTCATAACTAACAAGGGCCGTACTGTATTTCCATCCTATTCTCTCCTTGGTTTTTTGTGTGTGAGTATTTAAAAAAACTATTCCTCAGTGTGTGGCCTATCTTTTAAGGAGTTCTCTGCTTACCCTTTTGCATTTTGCTCTCCTCTGAATGACCAGGATGAGACTGAAAGCACGCTCTACTCCTCTCTTAACAGCTGTGTAAGACAGAGGCAGTGGCTGCTCCTATAGACCTTCATTATGGACTGAATACTTGATGCCCTGGAGAGAACAGAAGTTTCCTGATTAAGATCAAGCCAAGAATTAGATGGCAGTTCTTTTTTAAAAATTTTTAAGCACTTTGGGGTCAGAGGGATAGATAACCTAGCTCCTGCCCTCAAAAAGTTGTGTTCTAAATGGAAGATAAGTTGTAAACCATGAAAACCTAAATATCTGCTTGCATGTGTGCTAAGTCGCTTCAGTCATGACTGACTCTTTGTGACCCTATGGACTGTAGCCCAACAGACTCCTCTGTCCATGGGATTCTCCAGGCAGCAGTAGTGGAGTGGGTGGCCATGCCCTCCTCCAAGAGATCTTCCTGACCCAGGGATCGAACCCTTGTCTCTTATGTCTCCTGCACTGGCAGGCAGATTCTTTACCACTAGCACCAGCTGTTCAAAATAACTAAACAGAGAGCCTTCTCAGTATGCTTTTGCCTGTGGTGTTAGACTATGCATCTTATATTATTTTAAAAAACCCGCCAGGCTTTCTCACATTATTTCCTTTAGCAAATTTTTATTCAGCGTCTTCCATGGGCCAGGCCTGAATAGCTCAGCTGAGCTCTCAGCCCTAGAGGAGCTCACAGGCTTGTGGGGGAAGCCAGATAATCAACAAGTAGCCACATCACACAGTTTGGACCTGTTTTCCAGAAAAGAATACGTTCTGTCTAAAGCTGAGTTCACAAAGTAGGTGATATAAAATGTCACTTGGAAGCATTTTTCTCTCGCCATCTTGATAAATATTTCTTAAAGATTTCTTTCACCATCTTGGCAAACTTGTACTTTTTTTTGACTTACGAGTGAGGGAAGAGTCTGCAGTGAGCCAAAGAAATCCATTTTATAGCGTGAACTGCAGTTTAAAAATGTAGGCTTAAATTGTTGCCCTTTGCCTGTGTTCTCTATTCTTGGTGGGGAAAATGGTTCAGGTCCAGAGAATGGCTATTAATCAGGAGGTAATATTTGTATTCTGTTAGTCATCAGTGTCATTCCATTTTTCTCAGTATCTAAGTAAAAGTGATAAAACATGGAAGCAAGGACTAACCAGAATTTAATCTTTTTCAGAAGCTGAGAAGAAAGCACCCTGTCCTGGACTTGGCTTGTTTTACACATTATTGTCTGCGTTCCTTTTCTCAGTGGGCTCCTTATTTGTTAAAAAAGTGCAAGACATCCATGCTGTAGAAATTAGTGCATTCCGATGTGTGTTCCAAATGCTAATCATCATCCCTTGCTTAATATACAGAAAGTAAGTATTTCTTACGTGCCAAGTAGAAGGTATTAATAAATGTTTGTAAATCTTTTGACCTGCTTAAATCATCTACTTTCCAGCATCTGCTTTATCCCTCTCATAGATTTACCAATCCTCATACCCTTTGGCTCAGATTAATGAAAAGTCACAAGGATCCACCCATAGAAGTTGCTCTCATAAGCACAAACCACATGCCCAACAAAGGAGGGGAAAGAGTTCAGTTATTCACCAGCCCCTATTTTGAGAACAACGCTTTCCTTGTACAATTCCCCCCATCTTGTACCACCCTCCCTCTTTCCTTTGGCATAACAAGTATTTGGAAAAGAAAAGTAAACAAGAGGAAATAGTAGTGTCTCCTGGTGTCAGAGATTTCTTTAAGTATAACAGGCTGTTCTCCGACCAGGGCAGACGGAAAGGTACAGTAATAAAATTTCAATCTTCCCACTAGGGTGCTGTGGGAAAGATGTAAGGAGATCTTAAGAAAGGCCTTTTGTAAAAAAAATTTAAATAATTACTTTATTGTCAAACAATGCTGACCATCATCTGAGCCTTCAGCCAGTCCAAGTCTTCACTGGTGAAGGGTCTTCCTTCATGTTGATGACTGCTGACTGCACGGGGTGGTGGTTGCTGAAGGTTAAGATGACTGTGGCAATTTCTTAAAATAAGACAGCAGTGAAGTTTGCCACATCAACTGACTCTCTGAGAAAGGCCCTTTTAACTCCTTTCTTGTTCAGTGTCCTCATCTGCAAACTGGAGGGAATGATACACTTTGTCCTCTACCCTATACGAAAACTGTATTCACCATCCTTACTGTCTTCTCCTCGGCCAGCCTCTCTTCCTCTTGCACGTGGACCCCATCCCCACACCCTCCCCAGGTCAAAATTATGCCTCCCCCGCACTGTTATAACCTCTACACACCCCTGTGTATTTAGACACCTGTGAGGAGGGACTGTTGCGTTCCTGGTGGCAGTTTGGCTCTTTGTCTCTTTGGGTAAAGATGTTTTGACTCCAAATGAAAAGCTTCAGTCACTTGCTACCAAAGTCTCCTTGTATCTATAACTCAGCACAGATTTACTTAGAATTGTTTCACTACTTATCCCAAGCTTTTGGTGAAAAAGGTGAAAATACAGGAAGAGCAAAAATATTGTCAGAAATTCCTCTGTAGGTGTGGACAAGTCACAGTATTTTAGGAAAGGATGGTGGGTAAGACTTAAGAAATGTTGAAGAGTGCCAACAGACCATTGATGTGAACACAGTCATTCTCTCCATTTTGGAATAAAAGTACTGGCAGTAAGGCACTTAGAAAAATTTTCTTACATTGTTGGCACTAATCTGTTTTGACCCATTTTACGTTTCACTATCATGGAAAAAACTCAGCTTCTCAAAGTATGGACCAAAGGTGACCACACTTTCATTTCTAACTTCAGAGACCCAGGGGTCCCTATATCAAGCCTAGATGCTGTTCTAAAAAGGTCAGCTTTGTAACATACCAGTGAGCCTCACCTAGGCAGGAACTTACACAGTGCCCTGCCTTGTAAATATTTAATTAAAAAGCATTTGAACAGCAATTACTATACTTATCCAGATGCTACAGTTTCTTTTCCAGTGTATTTTAACTCATTTCCTAAGGAGAACAGTGAAAAGTTGTCTCATACTCAGTGGCTAAAATAAACTTTAGCATTGCTTCAACTTTAACAGAAGAAACTCATTAAGACTGAAAATGCACACTTGCATTCCCAAGTTTTCTTATATAGGGCAGCTAAATAATGAAATTGTACCTATTATAAAAATAACACTTTTTCATTATAGAAAGTTTAGAGAAAATAAATATAAAGAAGAAAAATTACCTATGAGTCTGCCTGTATAAGGTATAACCACAATGACCATTTCAGTATATTTTCCTTTTGTCTTTTTTTTTTTTTACAAACATATATCAATACATAGGGAAAATACTATCTCTATTTGCTGAATTATAATTATACTATTTATGTCTTATTTTTGCTTGTACTGTGAACACTTTAATGTCATTAGTTATACTTAGGAAACACTTCGTAAAAGGTATAATAGTTGTAGACATAATTAATTTACCATTTCCTATTTTTGAAAGTTAAGACTTTTAAGATAATGTTTAAGAATGTAATTTGAAAACAAATGCCAAGTCCATTTAATATGCATTCGTTCCTTTGAATTTACAGAACTGGGTTTATAGGCCCCAAAGGTCAACGAATCTACCTGCTCCTCAGAGGAGTCCTTGGTTCTAACGCCATGATCCTTTTGTACTATGCCTACCAGCTGACGTCTCTCGCAGATGCCACGGTTATCTCCTTTAGCTGCCCGGTGTTCACCTCTATAATTGCTTGCATATTTCTCAAGGAAAAATACAGCCCCTGGGACGCCCTCTTCACTGCCTTCACCATCACTGGAGTGATACTGATTGTGAGGCCACCATTTTTGTTCGGTTCCGAAGTCGCGGAGACGGATAAAGACTATTCAGTTCACGTGAAGGGCGCATTGGTGGCCCTCGCGCATGCTGTGTTTGCTGCCATGACTCTGGTTATCCTCAGAAAAATAGGGACATCTGTGGACTACATGTTGAGCATTTGGTATTATGTCATCATTGGCCTCATCGAGTGCGTCATTGTCCTTTCTATTTTAGGAGAATGGCGTCTTCCGCACTGTGGGTTGGACAGGCTGTTTCTCATACTAATTGGGATGTTTGGTTTGGGAGGTCAGATGTTTCTGGCAAAAGCCCTTCAGATAGAAAAGGCAGGCCCAGTAGCATTAATGAAGACCATGGATGTGGTCTTTGCTTTTATCTTTCAGATTATTTTCTTTAATGACATGCCGTCATGGTGGACAGTGGGTGGCTCCCTATGCGTAATAGCCAGTAGCACTGGAGCAGCCATTCGTAAATGGTGCCATAGTACCAAATAAAGCATCACTGCCAAAATGTGTATTTTTTTTAAAGTACACTGTCACCCAGTTCAGACACACAGTGGACACACACACACCTGGAAAATCTGCATTTACTTCATTGATTATATTTAATACATTTCATAAAGTATCATCTTTAGTTGAGAATAAGCCAGTCAGTTGGGTGTAGCAGTGATTTATTTAGTCAATTATTTTTTGGTTTTGGATTTTTGTTGTTGTTGGGGTGGCATTGGTAGGTGTTGGTAAGAGGATAGATCATTCTTTGAAGAAAAACTGCACAATTTTTGACTCTAAGTATAAATATATGTAATTTTTAGAAGTGTATTTTTGGTACTGATGGGATATAGATGGGAGGAAATTTTAGATTCTCTTTCAGCAGTGTAGAGGCTGAAAAACTTACTGATAATAATGCTGCTATATAGTTAGTGTTATGCTGAGAATTCATTTGAAATGTAATCCCATTTAGGAGGCCAAAGCTGAAACTTGGAGTAGGTGCCTACTTAATGATATTAATAAAACAAATGAATTAGCCTTATTTTCAAGGCTTTTATAGACAATTGTCATTCTTTTAACCCGTATTTGTGCCTTTTCACTTTAATGCTAAAACTTTTATGCATGAACTTAAAAAAAAGAAAATCTTTGCATCACCACATCTGGCTAATAGTTTTCTGTTTTAGTGGCATTAGCAACTGTAGCTACATTCTGTAATTCTAATTGTCCTCTTTTTTTTGAAACACCCCTAAATTTTTCTTAACCTTCTAAGATTTTAGGTGTTTAAAAATCATAAGAAAGAAATCTTGGCATAAGCAGTATGCACATTTCCATTCTGAAGTGTTTTCCCCATAATAGAAATGTGATTTTCTATAAATTTTATTTGAATTTATGGTGTGATGCCAAATAAAATTTTCTCAGGGTTTTATTCACTTTAACCATAAGAAACTGATGAGATTTTACCTTTTCAACTTACAAAAATCATAGTTCCTTATGGTTCACCCTATTAAGATACCTCTCTTACCTTCTAAACCAAATACTTAAGGGACTTTGGAGTATATTTTTTAAATTACTTTTTAAAATACAGTAATCCTAGTAAACTTATTTTTGTAGTCTTTTTCCCTTATAGGATTTTATATAATAATGCTTCATGTTATATATTAAATGTAAAGACCTGTGAATCCACAATTAATTGATTTTTGTAATTTCTTGAAAAAAAAGAATCACTGTTAAATTCTAGTGTATCAGTATGATCTTAAGTGTCAGTGCTGAACCATGATACTAACCTCATGAGTTCAAACAACACATTTTATATCTGGAATTTTCTTCAGGCCAGTACTCTGGAGTTAAAGAGAGAATGTAATATTTAGGAGAACTTGAGAGGTTAATCAGGAAATAGAGAGTACATACTAATGGCTCTTTGTCACAGTGAACCCTTTATTGGTAGGGCTTCAGCTCTTAACTGTATCAGACCTAGCATCTGTGATCTTAAGCCTACAGATTTGAACGCTTATAGGCTCTTTCCCATTGTTTCATCACAAATCTGCCAAAGTAAGAAAGAACTTGGCTTCCGAGGTTTATGCCTTGGTGAGAAACGATCCTTTCCAGTAGTTCCCAGAGGAAATTTTTGGCTTGCTGATCTTCCCAAGTGCTTCCCACCAGACAAATCCTAAATGAAGTCTATTTAGGAGAGTCACACTATTATTATAACTTTAGCCTACTCTGCAGTATTCAAGTTTAGAGTTGCAGAACCATCATTTTGCAGCTATGTTAGATAATTATAGACTTGGAGCTTCCTAGGGCTCAAAGGTTAGAGATCCTCTTGTAGGAGATATACTCCACGGTTAGGGATGCTAGGGAGGGGACCTACCTAAGATGGGTTTCCATGGTCTTATTTATCCTTCCTTTAGTTCCAAGGTAAAGTATGGAAAGTAAACCACTGCTTGAGATATCTAAGGTTAATTAACTCTCAGGGATGCCTCTCCTGGTTCTCTACCTTGCACAATAAAAGAACCAAATGGGACCTTGGAAGTTACATCCCTCTGGGCCTGTACATTTCAACAAAGTGGTTTAAGTACTTGAATGTCACAACATATGACCAAAGTTGGAGAAAATGTTTCTTCTCCTGACTTTTACAGGGTGTGATTCTTAAAAGCTTTTATAATGTCCAAGTTATATACAAGGATGTGTATTGTAACAATTGTGGGTGTGTATATTTTGCAAAGACTTCAGTTCCTATATCTTGAAAAGGAAACTATTTTCATAAACTGCTTCTATTTTATAATTACTAATAAAATTAATATGAAAGAAAAACTATATTTTGGTTTTAATGATTGTAGCATATGCTTAGTTAATATAACTTGTTTCTTTTTTTAATCCATGTGCATCAAAATGTATTTATTAAAGAGACTGACCTCTAGCCAGTTGTGATATAGTCTTAAGTTTCAAACTGTTTATCTCTCTGATACTGTCACATCAAATCTAATGTCTCAAAAATAATCTTATGTTCCAGTGAGGCCTTCATTGTTCTAGTTCCTCAGATGTTGAAGCAGTTTCTGTTCCAATAGCTAATCTGTTTGTTACTAAGTCTTAGAGGGTCTTGTCTTCTTACTGTCTCATGAATTCTTCATCCTTTGCACTGCTGCTGTCTTAGTCCAAGACTTATCCCCTCACACCTGAATTACCACAACAGTTATCTTGGATCTCTAGATCCAAGACTTCTAGACTCTTTGTTCCACTCAGATTCTTGTTCTACTGCCAGCTTAATCTGCCTAAGGCCCTGCTTTCATTGTTACTCTAGTTTGCATGAAGGCATAACAATGCTTTCTTATACACCACATCACATTCAAATTATTCATCTGATCCTATTCCTACTTCTCCAGCTTGATTTCCCACGTCCCAAGACAAATTCCATACTCGTGTCAGTCTCCCCACCAACTCCCACACTTGCCAAGAGATTCCTTCCTCTGTGTTTTGCGTGCTTTCTTTGCCTTCTAAAGCCTTTTAGCGTCCAATGGCTCACCTGAGCCATTGTTTCTTCCACTGTCTCCAGCTTCTCCCACTCATACTCGTCCATCTTGGAAGAGTGGATAAAGCACTGGATTAGCCATCTGAAGATCTGGGGGTGGTGTGATCCCTTTCCATCTAGGCCCTTCCAGTTAGTGTCCTTGAGCCTGTTTTCCTCATTTGCTTCAATTATTAAGTCCAAAAATATTACCTGCTCCAACTGATGTTACAAATAAGTGTCATAGAAGACTTGTAGACCACAAAGGAGGATAAAAACACTTAAGTACTGAACTGTGGTTACTATAGCAGAGTTGAGTATTCACTTCCTATTCAAAATGATGCCTAGCCCTAGGTCCTTCCCTCCTGAGCAGCCTCACCAGGAATGGTATGAACAGTCTTCTTGCTCACAAACCTTATTTGGCCCTCTCTTGCTGGCACAGAATTCTACTGTTGGAGAGCTCTGATTTCCTGGGTGACATGCCCAGGAAGGGGTGCCAAGGGTCACCAGCCTTTTAATCTTATCCATAGGTGTTTTCACCTTTCCAGTTCTGGCTTTAGCTCTGTGAATATTGCACTTGGCTTTGACTGGGGCTGGGGAGGGCGTTGGTGAGCCTGATTCTCTGTGTGTTTCACATGTAGTATTCATCAAACACAGCATAGCTCTTCTAGCCTCTTATCTTTTCACCCAGTAGGCATAATTAGTCTACCGAGGGTAATTTAGTGGGAAGAGAGCCAGACCTCTTTGATAACATGCTGGCCTCCAGTGTAGGTGTATGGCAGCATGGTCAGGACTGGACGTGAGGATTTGGTAATTACAGTGTAGGCTGGTCAGCCTGAGCACTACTCTAAGCACACTGTTATATGATCCCTTTGGTTCCTTATATAAAACCTAATACAGCTACCGTATTCACTTAGAGTTCTGCAAGACGCCCATCAGGGACCCTCTGGGATCCATAAAGACCATTCAAGTTTTAGCCTATTTGAACACCAGGCCTGGAAAACCAGTTCATAGAGAGCCCATGGACCTTGGCACTGCCCATCATTTCCTGGAAATTGGAGGATTTATGGCAGGCGGGTAAGGAGCAGACATATTTGGTGTCAAGGTAAGGCAGAAAATGTTATATCATAGAAGTCCAGTCCACAAGAAAATGTTCCAGTGGGTTCCACTAGGTACTACGCTAGCTGTCATCTATTGAGCCAGATTTGCAACAATATGAAACATGCTATTTTTATTACTAAAAATATAGTTACTTTTCATAAGAATGTTGTTGTTGTTTAATCACTAAGTCACGTCCAAGTCTTTTGCAACCCCATGGACTGTAGCCCGCCAGGCTCTGCTGTTCATGGAATTTCCCGGGCACAAATACTGGAGTAGGTTGCCATTTCTTTCTCCAGGGGATCTTCCCAACCCAGGGACTGAACCTACATCTCCTGCATTGGCAGATGGATTCTTTACCACTGAGCCATCAGGGAAGCAAGAAAGTTATTTATATTAACATACAATGGAATTATTTTAAGTAAATAAATTCAAACATTTTAGCTTTGCTTTTAAATATTATTATATATATATATATATGTATGTATATATATTTATCTCCCACATAAACCTGAAGCTCTTTGGAGTCCTCAGAAATGTTTGAGAGAGTAAAGGGGTGCAGCATCAAAAATTTTTTGGCCCATGGTCATTGGTAGTGGTGGTGGTGGCTTAATTGCTAAATCCTGGTCAATGCTTTGGACCCCACGGACTGTAGCCCACCAGGCTTCTCTGTCCAAGGGATTTTCCAAGCAAGAACACTGGAGTGAGTTGTCATTTCCTTCTCCAGGGGATCTTCCTGACCCAGGGATCTAACCCAGTATTGCAGGTAGATTCTTTACTGACTGAGCACTAGGGAAGCCCATTAGCAAACTGTCTCTGTTACTTCCTGTATATGTACTTTGGCTTCTTTGTATGTGCACTTTAGAAAAGTCTGAAGACTTTGATACTCTGCGGCGTAGTACTTGCATCCATGCAACTTCTAGAAAGGGCAATTTGACAACATCAATTAATCTACAGATGCATGTTATTTCTTCACCCAGAAATTCCATTTCAGGAATTTGAATTACATATAATTACAGGAATTGCAGATATACTTTCTTACTGTAAAATGACATATGCAAGATTATTTATTACAACATTAAAGTGGTGGCTCAGACGGTAAAGCATCTGTCTGCAATGCTGGAGACCTGGGTTCAATCTCTGGGTCGGGAAGATCCCCTGGAGAAGGAAATGGCAACCCACTCCAGTACTCTTGCCTGGAAAATCCCATGGACAGAGGAGCCTGGTAGGCTATAGTCCATAGGGTTGCAAAGAGTCAGACAAGACTGAGCGAATTTACTATTACAACATTACTTAAAAGCAAAAAACAGAACTAGCCTGAATGTTTCTCAATAGGGTACTGGTTAAATAAGCAATGGTACATACACAAAATAAAATGCCATTGAAAATAAATTAAGGGAGAACAAGGGAGCTTTACATGCATAGATGCTAGATGTGGGATAATTTTCAAGATTAAGTGAAAAGGCAAGATTCAGATAGTAGTAGAGTATGAGAGCAATTGTATAAAAAGAAGGTAAATAATATTTCAGGAAGAGATACACAAATTTGGTAACACTGGTTGCCTTTAGGGAGAAGAAACTGGTGGCTGAAGAACAGGGTGGAAATGAGACTTTTCATTGCATCTCCTTTTATACCTTTTGAATTTTGAGCTATGTGAATATATAATGTAGTACACAAATAAAATAGAAAATAAAGCTGGTAGAACAAAACCAAAAAGATGACATGACATAAAGGACAGGAGAATAGAAAGGAGGGAATGATAAAAATAGAGATATACATATATGCATGCATGTATGCATGCATGCATACATTTGTAGAGAAACGTTTACTGTTTTAATCTGATTTATCACCTGGTCATTATTACTGACTTCCTTTTGCTTTCTCCTCTTTTCCTTATCTAGCTTGCAAGCCAGACTTTAATTTCCACATGTTCCACAACTGAAGAAAATACAAAAGGAAAATCTGAATTTCCCTTAGATTCAAAAAAACACTGTCCAGCCCAGAGCCAAATATCTGCCTTTCCACAGCACCAAAATTATTACATGGAAAGGAAACTAGTATTTATTAAACATGTCCCATCCAGGCCAAGAGCTTCTTGATCTTTGCCTCATTCAATCCTTGCCAACTCTGGGAGATGGGTTGGTTGGGAAATTAGGGTTCAAAGAGGTTGAAGGGGATCACCTACTAGTAAACTCCAGTGCTCTCACTAGTAAATGATGGAACTGAGTCACTGCCCTAGGTCAGCCTGATCCCAAAGCCTTGACCTTTCCAATCCCCACATTACCTAACTAGCTGGGGCAGAACCAGGACAGAAACACTGTGGTGGTACCACAGTGAAAGGACTACTTCTTGACTTTGGGATTTGGAGGTATATATACCCTTCTCCTACCTCCTCTTCTCTCACATAGCAAGAGCCAGATGTGAGAGTATAGAAGGTGGTGACAACACTGCATATATTTTAGTTTTATTTCTTTCAACCCATTAATCAATAGTTATTGAGCAGTAGCCATATACAATCACAAAACAAGGAAACATCAAATGTTGCTAAGCCCTCAAAATGGTCAAGATGACATGCAAACATGACATATATACATACTGCATAATCAGTGCACCTGGGCTATAGCAAGATACTGCCCAAGGACCTGGAAATGCGGTAGCCTCCCAAGGTCTCAAAGCAGGGAAGAACAGAGCTGAACCTCGGGCCAGCCACGTTTAGCTGTAACTTCCCTAGAGATACTCAGAACATTTTTTAGGGTGTAACATACCAATCAGAAGGGCTGACCAGCATCAGAAACAGAAAAGGAAGGTTGCTGTGGCAGGCATGTTCACATAGTAGAGATGGGACATACCATCTTGGTGTGTCCCAGTTTTTCTCCCTAAAGTACCCCTAATAGCTGACAAGAGTCTGGAGGCATAGCTATAATCACAGCAACAATAACCATTACCCTTTATTTTGTCTTTCATGTGTAAGCTTCTGTCCTTTTTTTAAGAAATTTATTTATTTGGCTATGTTGGGGCTTAGCCACAGCATGTGGGGTCTTTAGTTGTTGCATGGGATCGCTGAGTTGCACCATATGGGATCTAGTTCCCTGACCAGGGATCAAACCTGGTCCCCCTCCACTGGGAGCACAGAATCTTAGCCACTGGTCCACCAGGGAAGTCCCCTAACTGGCTGATTGAGTCTTGCAACTCTGTGGGGAAGGCA